AAGAGCCACAGGAAACCAGACTTTATTAGTTCTACTGCCTGCAGGACAGCTTGTTGATTTTTCAAGGAAGAAAAAAGGTGGAAGAAGGAAGAGAGCTGAGTGGCTGAGCGTAAGGAAGACAGTTCCTTGATCCAGCATCACACTCTATCAAGTTATTTATTACTCTCCGTGAAAAAGTAGTCACCCCACATGTTGGTGACGGGAATTCTTAAACATCTATCATCCCACAGAACAAATAAAGCCTATGTAAACAAATTTGAAAGTATCACATACCAATGCTTAAAGTATCTAGGTCTAAAAGACAGAAGAGAACATCTGCTTCAGAAGTTCCTTAAATAAAAAATGATCAAAAGGTCAGGGAATGGACATCCTAACAAAGAGTTCCTGAAAACTGGCAACCTTGCTCCATCAAACAGCTCTCAAAACATGTAAAATAAGAGAGACCTATAATGAAATGGACTCTTGTCTACTAATCTGTTCTACTGAAGTACATTCCAAACCATTGAGCTGCTTTGGAAAGCTGCTGAAATGACATTCTTAGGTCTACATATTGGTGCTTCAGCCTGTCTTAGCCTCAATTTCACCAAAGAACAGGGTGAAAAGCAGTCCCACCAACAAGCCATAAGGTCCAATAGTTTATGACCCTGAAAAACCAGGATCAGAGACCAGAGACTCTATATGATCAGAAATGGCTGATTCTGCCTTCTGCTGATGCATGTAAATCTTATTTCTAGCTTTGAGAAGGTGTGAGAATCTCAGACCAAAAAAATCATGACATGTTTGTGGTTAGAAGATCCCCTTAATTAGAAAAACAATGGATTTTAAAGAGCTTTGGAGACTAAGTTCAAAAAGCCAAACAATGATACCTGGACTTCTGGATTCCAGGTGCTAAATATTTAGCTATACAGACTGGCAGAAATCAACTGCTATCAGTAAATATTTAAAACATTTCCAAATATGACTTCATATAAATATTAACAACCTACGTACTAGGGTAAAAGCTCATCTTTCATGGACAGAGCCACAGAAAACCCTTCAGTATCACTTTCATTACGCACTACCATTTTTTACTATTATTTTTACTGTGGTAGCATCTGAGATTCCCAGTTACAAGCTCAAATACTGTACATCTAAGAACAGAATATAGATCCTACTCCGAGAAGAATACAATGTATCAGTCTTCCCTTCCCCCATACACATTCCTAACTATTTTTTCCTACACATACACACTGTACTTTCGTCCCTTCCATGAAAAAGGCAGGATTATGATCTAGGATGCATAAAAGAACTCAAGAACTGGTGAAAGCAGTTTAATGCACTTACTACACAGAAGAAAAGAGTTCTTGAAGATTCTTTTCAAGCTCCTACATGCTTAGCCTGCTTGCTTCAATACATTAAAGCCCATTTTCAATTAGGTGAACCCTAAAGCACTCTAAGATGTCAGAGAACTTAGAATACTGAGAAGCTGCAGCAAAGCACCACCATATATTTATATTCACCTGTTTTTCTTTATGCATATTAATCACCTTCTGGCAGCCCACTAGCTCCTCTGTGGAGTATGAGAAAGGACTCTCACAAGCCCAAACAACTTCCATTTTGAGGCTAAAAGATCCTTCCAGGACATATGCCCAGGATATAATTTAGCATGTGCTGAAACGGAAGTGTAGAGCTCAGACAGTGAACAAGATTGATTTGGGAATGTGTAGGCACATGAGGACAGTTGCACAGTAAATTCTAAGAAACAAAGAACGGAAGGTTTCTCCCACTCTTGCAGGTGCCCAGGCTCTAAGGCACGCGTAGTAAGGAAGTACTTGATCCTAAATATCTTCTCCTGGCACAGCTCAGTTCACAACTTGCCTTAAAGAAAATCAGCATCCTTGTTCTTGCCCTCTTGCACAAACCTTTATTGCTTTAAAATAACAAAAATATATCTCAACTCCTCATTTTTACTTCGAAATGTGGTGTGGCATTCTTCTTTTAAAGACTGTAAAGGATGTGCTGTGATCTGCTGGAAGAATACCTTGAAAAAAATTACACGAGAAGCGCACATAGGTTCTACGTATCTATGTATTATTTTGCTCGCACACACCTAAACATACACCCGAAGTCCTACAGGTTGCAAAGAAGCCCATTTAAAAAAAAAACAAAAAACACCATGTTCAGGTTGGCATGTGTGAGCGTTTTCAGTCCCTGGAATATTTTTTTAGGCAAAAGAAAATGCAAAGAGAAAGTTACGGTGGAAGACTTAACCTGAATGTTAAGGCTACACTAACCAAACCCAGTTTGCTAATTGTGGTCACTTGCGGTGTGAAAACGGAATTCATTCACCAATGCCAACAGGATTACTACCAGAAATAGTTCAGTATTGAAAAAAGGAAAAACATATTTATCCAACTTAATTTGCAGGTGAACTTTTAAGCATAGTCAGTAATTAAGAGCATTGGAAATCAATCATAATTCTGTCCTTTTCATCCAGTGTTTGAGGGTGAAAGAAAGGCAGGGAGATGGAATGATCCAATCTGGTCATAAGAACAGGTTCATTTTTCATTTGAGTGACAGAACCATCAGTAAACAGCGTCCTTCTTCCCCAAATATTAGGTTTTCCTCACAGAGCTTCCATCAGAGTGTTCCAGGCCTGACCCGGTCTACCTTGAGACTTGAAATCACTAGGTAATTAGGTGCATATTACAGATATGAATGAGATCTATATGGAAATCGTGTTACGTATAATCAGATTAAAAAAGAAAAAAACCGAACTCTTTGGGTGCTTCCCCCCCCTGTTTTAATATAAATGACTAGTTGTGGATCAGCAAATGAAAAAAATAATCTATTAGTAAAAATTCACAGTACTCTGCCTAAATTTCTCCTGGCAAATTTTATATATGCATACACACAAATATATTTTTTAAAAATAGATATAATATTATATTATACATACACACACAGAGAGATATCTTTTAAGCGGGTCATCCCGCTACTTATGGAGGACAT